CTACTTTATTCTATTTAGCAATACGGGTACAATTTTATACGATGTTATTATTGATCAAGAATTATTACTAACTCCTACATGCTCTTTGAAGGTAAAAGAAATAGCCGAATTAAAGGAACAATTACTTGCATTACGGCAAAAGACATCCCCGAAAAAGTTACCAGATCAAGTATGCCTTTATTTAAGAATGAATTAATTCAAGTTTATCTATGAATGCTTATTGCTAAGGCTGTGATTATGTGCAGTATTAAAAATTTTTATGCTTAAATTGCCGTTTTAATAGTATAAATGCATTAATGACTAACTAATATAATTGTTAACTTTTTTATTCAAAGATACCGAACGACCTTGAACAACTGTAAGCATTTATTAAGTAACAATTAGCGATATTTACAATAAATTTTAAACCGCGTGCTTAAGTATTTATAAATTAATACTATTCAATCCTTTAAATTTCAGTCAAACAACTAATAAACAGCTAAATGAATCGTTGAAATCATCTAATCAGAAATTAAACGATATACTTCAAGAAAGTACACAAAAAGACAATACATTAAGAAGATGTCAAGATAAAATAAGGAGTTTGGAACAACAACTAGATAAATATAAAAGTGATAAAGCAGAAAAGGTTTGAATAAGGATTAATAGTAATATTTACACCGTACAATATAAGCTGCATAAGTAATACGGAACTTAAATTCCTATTTAATATCTAGCCTCATGTATCTGGAAATAAGACACTTGAATATATTACGGCTTTTAAAGATGAGTTAGTACAATGTGCGAACGAACTGCACGTAGCTAAACTTGTACCTCTCACCAAAGCTTTAATACCACAAACTGAAGACGAAGAAATTGTAATAAAACGTTTACATGAAATTGCTGAGGCTGTTTCAACTAGTATCAGCAAATTCCAAGTGATTTCAAAATCTAGCAAAACCATTGGCGATCGATGTGAAGTAATACGAAATGATATTGTAAATCAGAAGAGCAATATCGCTACCATAACTAAAACAGTTGAGGTAAGTACTACCTGTATATATTGATATTATCCATGCATAATATTCGAAGTCTACTCACAAAATGCTCATTCATTCTTTTATATACAGGGATTACTATCAAAATTGGATGTATTTGAAAAAGAAAAAGATGTATGCTACTGCCACGACTTTTATATAAAACTCTAGTACGAAAAGTTAAATACTTTATAACTGACTTTATTATATATGTTTATTTGATAGAAGTCTATCAAGAATTTAAATGAAGAGATAAAAAGATCAACTATCACAAGACAAGATTCAGAACGAAAGCAGAAGGAACTACAAAAGAAATGTGAAGAATTACAAAAGATTATAACGGAAAAAGAAAATACGCTACAAAACTTACAAACTAATATAAGAGAGAATGCTCATTCTGCTGAAAATAATAATACTGATAATGCCAACAAAGATAATGCAATGGATGCGTTAAGATCGGAGCTGGATGAAATCAAAAAGAAACTTAAGGAGTCCACTTTAAAATTAGGAAATCTCTCAAAAGACAAAGATCAACTTTTGCAACAGAATAACTTGTTACTTCAGCAAGAAGCAACTACTCAAGAAGCTTACAATAACATGCAAACTGACATTAAAAATCGAGATTTAACGATCAAATCTTTAGAAGAAGCAATGTCACAAAAGACAAACTCGATAAATGATCTGCAAAAATCTACAGAGAAAGTAATCACGGAAAAAGATCAAAAAATAACGGTGTTGGAATCAGAGATTAAAGCTAAAGAGAAATCCATAAGTGACTTACGTCATAACATCACAAATAATGATGCAGTAAGTCTATCAAAATTAATTTATTATTATAAGTAAAAGTATATGCGTAGATCTGCTATTTGCCCTAATTCAGTACAATTTTAATCTAATGACAGCAATTGAAAAAGGTTGAAGATAAATTACAACAAGTTCATACGGTGACTAAGGTATTCGCACACTTAATCGTACATTATATCACTTCTTATAAAGGAGTGATATTAGAAATAATAAAGTATTTTACTTCTATCAATACCGAAAGTAAACTATTTTATTCATTCAATATAATAAAAATGATGTAGCAATATGTTAAATATCATATCAATTATGTATTCTTAAAGGCACACTTGAAAAATTCTTTCCCCGAAGTGAAAGAGGATGCTTCGCTAGTGAGTGTACAAAATTTGATGATCACAATCTATTTTACAAAAACTTATAGCTCATTAAAATGGATTTTAACGTTATATTTCCATGATTATTTTTAGGACATAACCAACTGGACAGTTCACTTTGGCAATGGTGTTAAAAATTTCTGCGATAATATAACCTCTAAAGCTACTCAGATGGAAAAGAAGCTGCGCGCTGAGGTTAATTACATCTCAAAAGAACTACTGTATTATTTTACTTATCATCCTGGAACTTCATGACGCAACCTTGTTAATTTAATTGATCTGCTTCGTTTTAAATTACAGGTAGATAATTATCAAAAATTGCTAAAGACATCTTCGGACAATGAAGCGAACTTGAAAAATCAAATAGCACAACTTAACAAAGAAAAAGAGAACGAGGTTTAATAAACATGATAAAAAATTAGCTAAATATCGTGTTATTGTAGCTATTATGCCTTTTAACATATGCATGTTTTCATTAATTCCTATGAATTACAGATCAAACAGCAAGCTACTAGTAATAAGTCTACTGAAGTCTTGCAAGAAACGCTAAAAATTGAGGTTAATGTATACGAATGCATTTAAATAATACTACGGTGAAAATATTTTATTTATATTCTGTTATAATTGATCTTTCAACAGGTACAAAAGCTTAAGGATGATATTAAACAGGAAAAGGACAAATGTCATCGTTATGAATTGAATATGAAGGTATAATCCTATTTCAGATCCAACTAATCTTTCAATACTTATTTTATTAATGTATTTACAATATATAATAAATTTAGGAATTAAGTGACAAGCTTGAAAATTCATTGAAGGAGCTAGACAAAGAACATTCGCGTAATAATGATTTAACTGCCAATTCCAAAAAAGTATGTATTCTATAATTACTTAAAGTATTGTTGTAATTACAGTATTACAAGAGCGTTACGATAAATTTTTATTCCTTTAGCTGGAAATAGCAGTAGCGGAGTCTCAAGATAAAACGGGTAAATTGAGGGTAGAGCTGAAACAACTGCAGACTGAATTAGCTAAGGTACAACTACTACTGTATATTATAGCAGTTGATAAATTCTACTTTAACGCTAAATTATTCTTTTTAATAAAATAATATTCAAGACTGGCAGTACAGCGAATAAATATAATCAAGATTTGATTGCAGAAAGAGTGGCTGCTTCGAAACTTAAAGAAAAACTCACTGTATGTCATTCTAATGTATTTCTAAAAAATATCTATAATAGTAAACAAAAAATAACGTTGTTTCATATTTGTACATATTTACAGAAATTGGAAAAGAACAATGATGATATGCAAGTACGTTGTAATTGCAAACTTATAAAAATATTTATTTTTTATTTAATCATTTCGTTGGTTGATATCTCTATCGATCGATTCCTTAAATATTATTGAAAAATATACCATAATTTTTGTTACCTTTTTTACTTACTTTTAGGATGTACGCAAAGAATTAGATGAGGTACAACCAAAACTATACCACCATTAGTTAAATTAGTACAGTCAAATACTAATTTTATACGGTATGTTTATAATATCAAAAATTAGGTAAAATCGAAGCTTTCGTCGGCGGATACGATACTGGATCAGAAATCGAAAGCTCTAACTGCTCGAGATGAAGCTTACCGTTCTTTAGAAGCTCAGCACAGCAAACTAGCAGATGATTTGGCAAAGGTAACATCCTAATCATAGTCATCTTTGTTATTTATATAATATTTTTTCACTCATGAACATCAAATCAAAAATTAGACTAAGCGGGAACTAGCAGAAAAGATTACTAATGCCAAACACGTTGGATCAACCAAGGTAGTTTAAATAAACTAATTGTTTTGTACCTGCATTTTTATGCGCACAATCATACGTTATTGGTATAATTGATCTATTATACTGCATGAATCATTATAGAGGATTCCCGCTAAATCGCCAGTAAAAAGCCCAGCGCTAGTAAAAAGCCCAGCGCCAGTGAAAAGCCCAGCAAAGGACGATACCGCCGTCTGATCTATTACAGCGCCTTAAAATTTTTTACTACTGGTTTACCTCAAGAGAATGTAGCTTATTTAGTGTTATGAAAATTATAGATCATTATTATGAATGAATTTATAGTACTGCAAAAAGTAACATGAAAACTGGAATATAGTAGTAGATTAAAAGGAGAGTTTTTTTACGATTTGCTAGTAATGTAATCAGAGGAGAATATTTCCATTGATAGATCCATGTTTGAACTATCCGAAGTACTTATTACTACGAGTATGGAGTAATGTAGCGATGTACATTCATTGTCGGTATTGATACCGCATGATAAAATCTGTTGCATTATCAAAGTAAACTATTACTTTCTGATTTAACTAATTGCTGCGATTGAAATTGCCCAAGACAAAAAAGCTCATTTGCAATTTTTGTCTTACTCTGCCATGTTGTAACACGTTAAATCGGTGATTGGACTATAGGATTAAACTATTTCTTAATGAATATGAAAATCCTGCGTAAATTGATATACCGCATAAAATTGACATATGAATCAGCAGTCTTTTCTTTTAATATAAGTGTGTGAGATATACATATACATTTAACATTTGTTAAGCAGTAACTATATTTACAGCAATACTACAAAAAAACTTGAAGTGAAATTTACTATATGAGTATGTGCATGCTGTCAACTGTCGAAATATAATTTACTTTGCCCGTAAATCATCATCAAGACTTTGATATAAGCACCTATGCACTCGCGTATTCGACCACTTTACGAAACATACAACATATTAAAATTACGGTAAGTATACTGAATCGTTCACTCTCATTCTGTCCACCGATGACCACATCCTTGAACAGAGCATACATAATATAACTTCATATTATCCTACGAGATAAGAGACACAAGTTTTCAATTGAAAATGAAGCATTATCTCGTTCATCTTATACTACACATTTCAAGTTTTCTATAATTCAGAGTATCAAGATTTGATATCGCTAAGCCAACACAAATACTACATACCTCTGCTAACGTCGACTGTGCTTGAAAGAAGACAGCTTCTCGTTCCATGCATCTAAAATAACGAAAAACTCTTAGATATGGAAAGTGCCAAATTATGATGTAGATGGTATTTGTAAAACTATAATTTGAGTTAAATATATATGTGCAAGGCAAATTCTTATTATATCGGATTTTGATATACGCTGTCTTGTTAAGATTTAACTATAGCGATGTCGATGTTGGTTCGAAACTTACTTAGGACAGGCATGCTCACGCGTTCGAGGCAGCGTAGGATCAGCAACTACATCAGCTATAATTTGAGTTAATTCGCTATATCAAAAATCAAGAGCACCGAAGACGCAAAGCAGATCAAAATTTTTGTAAAAGTTCGAAATTTTGAAAAATATTATCACAAGTATATATTGAAACATTTGACTTTTCTACGCATTATCTCATATCATTTTTACAACAACTTTTCATTTCGTTGATACCCGGATAATATCTACAGTTATGCAAGTTTATCATTCTACAGATTCCAAATGTGTACAGCAGTAAACATGTATTCGCATTATAAACGTATACAGATACGTAAATGCGTTCGTGTACGATTCGACAGAGTAGACAGTAGAGCACACGCTAAACAAACCTAAATTGAACTGTTCTGTACGTTACAGATCTTAAATGCAAGGTACACCATTAAGATCAATTTCAATGAATGAAATTGATCACGGAATTACATAACACACAGTGCACTGGTACAAAATTTTAAAATAGCTTATTACATACGCGTCTAGTAATTAAACTTGCTAAGCCAAGAATATTGAGATAGTACGGTACAGTATAATGCTATGACTATCAATGATGGACTACTACGTAGAATCTATAAATACCCGTAGGACAAGTTAAATATTTCGCAGATTTTATTGCTAAAACCGAGGCCTAAGCTTGATATAAGCGTAGATCGAAAATACGCTACAATATCATTGAAGTTTCAGCATCAGGATTAACTTACTTAATTTCATGTGTTATTTTGTTAACATATATGCAGGGATTTTCAGCAATTCGGCTATATTCACAATTTCTACACTGTAGCATCAATTAAAATTATCCAAATTAAAAAATATCAATTTAGGAAAGATGTACTGTATAGTATGCTTACCATGTATCGCAAGACTTTATTCTCCTTATCTTCCTTAGGGTATAACATATTATTGCTAATCGTTGCCGTTTGTGTTCACAATAACAAAACATAGTAAAAATTAAGGGTCTTGTCAATCCTAAGTATCCTTGCGATTTACTTTTCATTCTATTGTACCATCAAGCTAAACTTAATAATAATATCGGATGTCACTTCAAAAATGTGTAGTATTTCATACCATTCCTGACAAAATTGAATCCCGACAAAGGCAGGCCCAGAGTCAGTTCGACCATAAGCAAAGTCGTTCATATCTACCCAATTTTAACGGCAAATAAAGAAAATTTCTTTTCCAATAGTATTATCGGATATCAGCGTATTCAACTGATATTGAGTAAATGTACTTCAAAGCGATTAAAGACTTACTGATCTAAAGATAGAGGACGTCAAATGGAAACGCGCTTCTTCGATGGAGCAATCCTGTACGAAAGCGATCCCGTTAGTGATCATGCAAATAAAAGCTTTTTTTATACTACAGTCTATTGTACCGTACTGTTCAGTATAGTAGAGCAGTTTACATGTAAAACAATAAGAGTACGAGCACCGCGATGAAGACATCGTCGCCGTGCCCCATACAACCCTTTACAAACCCAATTGTCACCCCCTGAGTACAGTACAGTACAGTACTGTAGAGTAGAGTACAGTACTGTACTGTACAGTACAGTAGAATACAGTACAGTACAGTACAAACCAAACTCGCTACAGTACATACTTTCAGGGGGTGACAATTGGGTTTGTAAAAAAAGGGTGTACAGTACAGTACAGTATTTTGTCTCACAATGTATGTACTGTGCGCTTTGTACTGTACACTGTACACTACTGAGTCTGATTAATTTCGTTGGCACCCTAAAAAATTTAATTGTGGAAGTTAAATCAAGCCCAAACTATCTGTGAAGATATCCTTCTACGGGTATATGTAAATAAATATTAAACAGGAATTTCAACGGAATACTTTGATTTTTGAACGAAAGAATGTCATCGAAAATAATCAGACTTGTACGCTATTAGTCTTGCTGTACTGTAGAAGTCGCTGGTACTGTATACTGTACAGTAAAAACTCGATGATGATGAAGACGTTACATAGGCATAGCAATATGTATGGCAGCCATGTTGATGATGACGTTTAATAGCTTTGATAATATGTATTTTGAAGAAGTCATCATCAAAAAACTATTTTGCACATCAGAAGTGAGATCTTAGAGCAGCATTATCAGATTTCAATGATACAGTACCGTGTAATCATGGTGCATAGAAATCTTGAATGGTTGATTATTATATAGTAATTAATGAACTTAATATACTTGTACCGCTCGCTCTACTTCACGTGAAATATACAGTAGCATACAATAATAACGTTATTCCATATCGCCAGTACTACATACTAAATTGTATATATACTAGTATATGTTACGCAAAATATTGCAACCAATTCATTAATAATAATTTTAATAAATGGCTGAAATATCAAATGCTGCAAAACTCTATCCGCAGCGAAATAGGTTATGTATTCGAGAGAAATGAAGCAACAATACTATTTTATATTGCAACGTTATGCAATACGCGTACTGTGCACAGTAATAACAAATATTAATACGGCATCCTATAATACTACAGTATATCACAGTTACAGTAGGCAATATCTTAGTACTATAACAGTGTAACAAAAAAGCATATTATCAACTACAGGACATCATACAACACATGTGTGATCTTACTTGTTATAGCACAATTACAGTATCATTTATTATATATACGCGTACATATATATATATATATATACTATAAAACAAAGCCAATTAAGGTATTACGTGTATCATATTGTCCAAAATTAATGTTTTAGGAAATAATAGAACACAAATGACAAGCTAAAGAAAAATTTTATTTACCCTATCTTAGCAAGGTATTCATACAAAATTAATTAGTCAATACCACAATCGCCAATGAGATGGCCTTGAGAACTATCATTAATCAGAAATTTGATACAAGAAATCAGTAATACGCGCATTATCATTAGAAGCATCAAGGTATGAAATTAGTCCATCATAACACAACGTGCAGTGTACACTATTGCAAAATCTTCCAATATTTCTGCAATTGTTCATTCTTTCTTATAATATCACATTATCATTGCCAGCACTATGTAATAGGATATTTAGATAAATACTATTAAAAATACATCGTAAATGACTACTCAATGGAGATTCTTCATAAAAGATTGATTATACCAATATCTCTTCACCGATGGCAACCTTCATATAAATGGGCTTCTTAATTTCTATATCATCTAGCCAAGTCTTTCTATTTGTATGATAAACGCCTTGATTTCTATATATTATAACTAATATTACTGGTATCACAAATATAGCAATTAAAATGGCAACCCCTATAGACACCAATGCTATGGTAACGTGAAATATCATTGTTGAATTATTGTCTAGTTCTATCCAGGGATCAAAAGTTGTCACATTGTAATCATTAGTTTCATTAATTTCCATCTTTCTTTGCCTGCCGAGCTGAACTATATCTTCCTTCTTATCGCGAGTTGGTGCCTTAATTTTTACAAAGTCAGGAAAAGAAGGTGGGATTGTTGATCCGTTTCTTAACGGAAATGACATAGCCTTGATATAGTAATTGCTAGCTGAACATTTCGGAATTATCGGTGACCTATGACTCATAAAATGATTTATCCCTCCTGCTTCAATGTCGTCAAATTTATCCCAACAAATAAATTGAAAAATCTTCTGTCCTATAGTGAAGGTCAATAAATACTCAGTGTGCGCATAAAATCATAATCCAAAGTTGCATAAATTACTAAAAGTTATCAGTCTTATTTACTTTATTTCTAATCAAAATGCGGCCTACAATCAATTAAAAATCACTAACTTTAACCATTTTAGGAGTTCTAATAAAGTACAACGCAAAATTGCTCACATAATTATACATAAGATAAGTTAGTTTGATTGCCTTAATGGTAAATGCCATTAAGCGCAAGAAATTAACTTCCGTAATTTGTACTTACTGCTATCAGAGACCGAATTCCGTGGATATAACGTACGGCCATTAACTACAATATTGCGAATCCTTCCTTGGAAAGCCGTTATTGCAGTACTTCCCAACTGAAATTCTTGAAGCATACCTTTAAATATAGAAGCAGCTTCAATAACGGACCATTTTGAATCAATAATAAGGTAAGTTTGATTTTTATGATGTAAGATTTTGACCCAGTGCCACTGGTAATCATTCATCTTGCCATGATGATCAATTCGTAACATTTTCATATTAGGCATTTTTAAAGCTAATCTACCATTCAAAATATGAACTTGGAATATAGAGTTCAAATTACTTCCACTCGAGTAGATTGATATTAATGATGTATGCTGTAGAGTAGTCTTGAACTGAAAAGCAATGGATCTGAACTGAATAGCTTTTGTTCGGATCCTCAAAATCTCTTTCTTTGTGAATTCGTAACCAAGCAATTCTAAGTAAAAAATCATAAAAATTATATCTTTATAAGTATTTAAACTACTAGTTTAATTACATCGATTACCGATGATGATTAAAAATTCGTGAAAAATTGCAGTTTTAAAGAGTAAAATATACCGGTAGTTCCACATACAATTAACTCGAGAAGGAAATGAAAAGTGATAACGATATGAAGATATTTTATCTCAAGCTATAAGATATAAATCAAATCACGATAATTGATTTCTAGTAGAAAAGATAAGATATTATGGAACTAATTCAGGATTTTCAAATTTCTTCTGCGATTCAATATAGACTACATTTATAGCCTATTGCCGCAAACCACATACTGCATTTGGTGATACTTTTGCAAGTATATTGTCCTTAAGCTATTACAATTTCTAAATATTATAACCTTCCCTGCCTTCATATTTTAATAGGAAAGAAACATAAAACTAAAGCTGAATATAACTGATAACCTTATTTCGATATGAACATGGTTTGACTTAATCGGTTAACATTTATGTGCTATTGTACTTGACTGTAGACCAATTAGCCAGTCTAAAAATGGGCAATTTTGAGACCTGTAGAATAAATACATTCGTGAATTTACCTGTGCCATAGATAAATTCGCGAATAATGGCATTATTTCAGTTCTGACTACTTCTCACACTATCGCATAGATCCCTCATAGCTATCGGTTGAATTTTATCATCAAAGTACTTATGCTTACTACTCCATTAATATTATGTACATATTATAATATATGCATATATCTATGAATACTATTATGGTAGCATAATTGTAATCGCGAAAATGTTGACATGTATGGTCATCAATATTAATTAGACCTTACAATTGAATAAAGGGAGCTTACCAATCATTACATTATTACTAATTAATAATGTATTAGATCTGCTCTATCTATCATAAAATAAGATGTGAGCTATTTGTATCATATACATTCGATGATTGTAAATAGCTAATGTTAATCACAATTGTTAATAGTTTTGTCATAATAGTTGTGTACCTTGATCATTCTTGATTTTTTCATGAGATGATCTCTTTGTACAGATATTCATAAACGCATGACTTTTTTTCGATAAACAAAAGTATCGACGATAAAATGATCCACAGAATGGCTTACAGCTAGTAGTAACATCTTTCATTCTAAGTATGACAGGTACGATTGCAGACGATGAGCTGGTATAGTTAATACTCATTAAACAGCCAATAATTGATCCCATTTTAAAGTGGCGATAAGAGTTGCCGATAGCAGTCCTAAATTCACGTTTAGAATGTAATCTAACGTTACCAAAATGAATTGCAATAACAGAAGTACTTGGTAATGGCTTATCTAACTGAACTGAATGTTGGATATCATCGATCGATATAGTAAAGATATTGTGATCGATCTGTATCTCTAAAATGTGATTGAAGGTATCACTAACGCATTTTGAAATAGTAGCATTATATGAATTCCGCTGAGGGTGTCCTCTTATAAGATTAATAACTGGCCTACCATCACGTAGTGTTAAGAAAAATAATAAGCCAAGATAATTTTCACTGTATCCATTTAATATTAAACCGTTCGCCGTATTAGTAGAAAATATCATAGTTAATTTACTTCCATGAACCATTTTCCATGATGTACACGATACAAATGAGCCCCTATTGATTAGGCTAAACTCCTTGCATGTTGCTGTACCACTAATGATTTTTAAATTAATTACAACTAGTGAACAGTAAACGAGAAGAGTACGAAACAGATCAATTTTTCGCATATTGCTATGGTTTATATCTTCCAACTGCTATATACCATTACCCCCTAGTAACTTCGATTGACAATTATAATTAAATAATCTAAATCATTTTATACGAAAATAATCAAGTTGTTGATTCATTTAAACGCAGACAAACTCTCTTAACAGAATTCTTAAATTTAGAATAATCTTATCTGAAATCAGAGCTAGAATAGAATCATGACCAGATTAAGCGTTCACTCGGAATGTTAATAAATTTTTCTCTACCATTGCAGCTTGAAGATCTTTACATGATTCCAGTTATATACCGTCGTGCGAATTATAGCTCAATTAGTGACTTGTAGCCACCCCTTTTCTTTTATTTTATCGTAAACCAGTGCAAATAGACAGTAATAACGTTTGTATTGTATATGATAACAATACAAATACTAATAGCGGGCAGCAGAGCAGATGTTAGGGTGAATATGTACGAACGAATTGATACATTGTACGACGTATTCTTAAATCTTTTGGCTAGAGGCTAAATAAACAATCCCAGGCTTTAAAAAATCTCTTACAGTCATACTATGGATACATTATGCTGTACACGTAGTTTACAAAATGATTAATTTAACGCATTAATGAATATACTTAAGATATATTTATATGGTATCTCATTTTATTAAATGCGCCACTTAATAAATTAGAAAATCAGATGAACACCTAATATATCAATGATAGCCTTGCGTTCTTGTAGGTTTAGTCAAATAAATGTTCGAAATATAAACTTTGATACTCATTCATATCTAGTCAACAGCATCATCAAATTTTATTTCAATTGGCTACAGCAAATACTTCAGGCTTAAACTAGCACATTATAAATAGCGCCATTGCTTAGCAACAGGTAGCAAGATCAGAATATGCTACGCTTATTACATGAATATCACCATTTCAATATCATGATTCTATATCAAATGTTACATGTTATGATATAATATATTTGTACTGTGCGCAATAGTATCTATCTAAGAGTAACATGAAGCAATATTATGAATTCAATAGGTTGCTTTAAATGCTTTGTAAAAAGATTTTAAAACACGCCTTCATGATTTAGTTATTTATTGGCAAATCACACCAATATTGCTCTTAAGGTAAGTCATATGGTAGTATAAAAATCATTTGATGGAAAAAATTATTGAACTCCTGTGAGAGCTCTAAATTATGAGTACTAAACTACAATATAAATAAATTAACGTTTTGTTTCGGAGTTTAATAAAATTGCCTGTACTTCATAATATGAATAATAATCACTGAAAAAGAGTAGATTTCTGGATTTTATAGAGTAAATAATTACAACCCAAGAAATAGAGAATCATATGCTAGTAGATCCATTTAAAAAGCAATCAATGTCTCAAATATCATAACAGTTCGAAATGAAACCAGTAACTATGATGTAATTGGTTAAAAAACTTTCATTTTATGAAAGATTGCAATTCGCTTTATCTGAAATGCCATAGAGTTGCAGTTTTAATCTTAATATAATAAAATTAATCCAAATTTTAATTTTGCTCATAACACTTGAGGAATTTTTCAGATCATAATTAGCTATAGCACGGATACAACTTTTTGACATTGTAATCAACGACTGCTTATTATTTTTGGACTTTAAAGTAGATTCTATACCCTTCAGTAGATCATTCGTTTTAAGAATTAGGAGCATCTGCCTTGGTATTCGTTGCAGTAACTCTGTAATGCCAGGTAGGAGCTGTGAAGCAGTACCAGCTATTTCATCCATCTATATCAAAGAATTTTAATATCAAAATAGTAAGTCCGAAAAATTGGATACTCTAAAGGTATTATCGATTTATAGTGCAAATTAATCGTAGACAAACTTCGGCTTTATCGATTGGCTTATTAGAAATACCACTCTTGATACTGTTCCATGATCTACCAGAAATTATGCATGCCAACAACGGATACATTTCACCAGCACGTAATTCGGCACAGTATTTCTTAACCGCATCTAAATCAGCTTCAATGAGCGATTGCCAAAGTCGACAATAGGAAATCCTAAAGTCATCGGTCAGTTTCTATCGAATTTAAATAATAAATGGAAAAAAATTATAAAATTTCAGCCTAATATCGCATCTTAAAGTCTACATAACCGTTTACTTCCTCTTAAGCCTTTAAATTAGCAGTCATAGCTCCTATAAATAGATAATCTGTTAAATATTGAATAATTGTATACCTGATACAACCCATGATCCAGTAAAACGATCTCCGTTTTGTTTGTAGTATCATTCTTACAAACAAGTAAATTTCCAGGGTGAGGGTCGCAGTGAATATAACCTTTAACGAAAATCATTTCGCTATAAAGTTTTCCGAGCATTTGCGAAACCTATATAAGTTGTTAAAATTGAAGTTAAAAGTCAAACAACAAACAATTTCTGCGTATTCAACGCGCTTCTTAAAGCACTTACTACGGCCATATCGATCATAAGATAAAGACTGTAGTTAATTATACCGTAGTTTTCTCTATGGTATAGTTGTAAATCTAATGGCTTGCCTACCTCATCAACATTTATCTTAGAATTTTGGAGGTATTCTAGATTGTCAATTCTGTCGCCAAAACAGAGTTCCATCGTTAACACACGATCGGTTGACCAGTTCCAATAAATCTTAGGAATCTACGACAATATAAAATTGGATACGGTAAATTTTGCATTTATAGAGACATAAACACATTATATTTTATTCAGATACCTTTAAGAAACTAAAATGTTTGAACATCTTAGCAACATTATCCGCATTGTGACCCTCCTGTATGAAATCTAATTCTTTCGGTAAATTTTTCTTAGTTTCTTCAATTAGCCAGTCAAATTTAAATTCAGGAAATAAACGAGCGGCGACATTGCATAGAAACTGTATTATATAGTTTAATTTAATAAATAGTTAAGGAGATTACCGGTTGATATTAAATACGAAGAAAACTGATCAGAACACTATCAAGTCAAGGCAAGTAAATGAACAACCAGTAAAGGCATAACAGTTCTGTAAAAATCTTTGTTCACCTCCATACATCTGACATCAGTATCAGAATAGGCCTTAACATTTCGATGTTGTACCTTCACAGCAACAGTTGTGCCATCATGCAATATGCAACGATGAACCTGAGCAAGCGAAGCGGCGCCTATAGGTTTGTCCTCAATGTATTGAAAGATTTCATGGGCAGGTTTTCCAAAATCTTCTTCAATCACCTAACATTACATTAAATCGGATCACATGAATACGCGTGCATGTAATAAAAGCGATGTTGTTGTAAAGTGATACATTCGACTGTATCATAAGGTATAAGTTGAAAAACTTGTATTGATGATCCCTGGTACCGCATGGGGCCTTTTAACTAGCTACTTACCTTCAAGACGTCAGCTAGCTTGCTTTTAGGGGCATCATCGTGTAAAACCTTCATGGTTTGTACGTACTCATCTGGTAAGAGATAGTCGAGAGCGCCAATATGTTGTCCAGCCTTGATGTATACACCGCCATGCAAGCAACATAAATTCCTTAATCGAGTAGCAGCCCGAACATGAACCTTACGTGTAGAATTACAACATAGAGAAATAATAATCTTGGCGTGAGATATCAAAAAAGAATCCATTAAGCAAGCAATATTTTTCCTGTAATGCTGGTTAAAGTAGTAAAGTTATATGTATACTCGTATATCTAGATTACTGAAAATTTTTAGGCGCTACATATGCAGAAGTAAACGGTAACCTTGGATTTCAATTCCCGGTATCTATCAGTTGTAGGATCTACTCCATATAATGTCACTTTATAGTCGGCAAATACGCAGGCAACCTAAATTTAAGGCAGTGTAATCAAAATACGATTTTCAAGTTGATATAAGGGTACATATTCGAAATAATCATACACGTCGTAAGCTAAAATATTTTATTTGTCCCTTTTTCTTTAGACAATTATAAATTATAAATTTCATGATTGTAAAAAGTAACAATATTGATAAGTTCGATAGCTAGCGTTGAATACGTGTACAGTATGTGTATACGAGTATTATCATTTATACGTTTGTGTTCAGTATCATCGCTGATCTACAGTAATTGTATTTGTGTTAGAGTAACGATTTGAACAGGTAGAATCACTGAAATGCCAATGGAAAGGTTTTAATCTTTTACTATGTTGTAAATACGAGCATGATTAGTACAGTATAAACGGTGCGTTCGAGAAGCTCCTTCAGTAAACTTTTAAGAATCAGTCAGTTATCGTACTTCTGACGTAGCGTTTTTGTCAGTTATTATTATAGCTATGCATGCATCTATAATAACCAATAATGCATTCTGATGTCTATTTTAGATGCTAGCATCCCAATGCGAAACATTTCATTGCATAACGTACCGAGAATACGACTCTTAATTATACTCTATATCATGGTCGCGTATAGCCAAGAATATCAATAATTGCAATGCGAGAATCATGAAGGTTACCCAAATAACCAATGTCTTTGGCATACTATCACGTAACAAATTTACCATGGATCATACAGTATAGAATTTCATTTGCTACAGTAGCGGCAAATTTAAAGTGGAAATCAATATAGGAATCGTTTGTTTATTCATGTATGTATGCAGCATATTAGTAACTGAGTATTAAGGCAGTATTAATTTATTCACCACGCTATATTCCAGACCGAGTATTGTCAAAATGTATCATAATTAGTCGCGAATAATCATTAAAATATATGAGTATCGTTACACTAATACACTAAGTCCGAACCGTAGTGTAATGTCATGTCTGATAATTGATTATAATTATAATAGATAAGTTCTAAGTTATAATAATCATCGATTACAAATTATCCACATGTTATATAATCAAAATGCTTGTCTGTGTCGTATCTAGGAATTGAGTAAACTTCGATATCTGTACAGTATAGTACGACGCTGCTAAGTTACAAAACGATCCGTTACTATTCCAGCTAGAATCTTATAGAAAGGAAAGTCTTCAGACCTTTTCGGCATTGCTTGACACGATCATTTAATTACTCTGCTAATGTATGTACAGTACAACCTTCAATCAGTCAATTAAGTAGTAGCAAAGTGCGAGCTGCATTTTATGAAAGATATCACTAGTCATGCTCTAGATCTACCACATAATCCCTTAATCTATTAGTAGCAAGTTTAGAAGGTTACCGTTGCAGCGGTAAAACCCATACGTGCAACTCCGAATAAAGGTACATCATTAATGACGCAATATGCACCAGCACTTGCAGCAGCTCCAGTTAATCCTAGAAAGAGATATTTCAATCGGCCGGTTCGTCGTAGAAAGTTCATTAATGATGCATTCATCGATTCAGTAATGTTCCAATAATTAATCTTCTAGGGACCGCATTACCAAGATGCTAAATCCTTTTGAGCTAGAAAACAGCAATGAATAAAGTGGTGGCAAATCAGGTCTAGTGGCAATGCAATCAATGATTATTATAATAATGTTATGATTGAGTTAAAGTGAGGTTGCCACCGGTACAGTACTTTACTGTACAGTATAAACTAAAGACCGGTACTGTACACTGTGTTGTGTATCTCGACTGTTACAGTGTACAGTACAGAATAGTACAATACGTACACTGTGCACTACTTTAATGTACTGTACAACGAGCACATAAAGTGATAACTGATCATGCTCATAAAGTAGTCACTGGAACTGACTACAGCCAGTAAGGACTTGGAGGCATCGGAGACGTCCATGGTGCAGGAAAGTTTTTATAGCAAAACAGGAAACGACGAAAGTTTGACTCATTGATTCAAAGACGTAAATACGGAGTATACTTCGTTCCTTGTTTTGCTATAAAATCTTTCGTATAATGTTGCGAGGGTTACAAAAATCTTCAGTGCTCTGAACTACAGTATTATAAACGTATTCGTTGTATCACTAGGGCGTAGTCCATGGTAGAGTCCTCCAATGGAGTGAAAACGCAATCCGAACCCGATAATACCCGATCAAATTATTGATTTTCGAACCCCAAGTGAGTACAATCGCTATACAAACACTGTATCACCACAGAAATTCTTCTCTCCAATCGGGTTCAAGTCGGGTTTGGGGTTAACTTTTAAGTAGACCTGAAAAAGGTTCGGTTAATAAGGAACACTGTTCAATGATCAGCTGATTTCCCCTGTTACGCCTTGTAGATCTTGTCATCATCTTGAACAATTGCCCACGGGATATCCTCATTATGGAATGAATCTATAGTTTCAATACGTCAATTTGAATGCAATATAGTACGTGAAGTATAACGAGCAAGGGATACACTACTAACACTAGTATAAAGTAATATTATTAACGAATTATCTTAGTAATACAATTTGTATAAATCCGAATAAAATTGGAGTTGATAAATCGCGCGATGCGCAAATGTATTTTTGAATATGAATGTACTGTACAATACAGGATCGAATAGTGATTGTAGGCGAGCACTGTAGTTTATAGATAATAACCTATTACTGTATCATACCTTCCTCTTAAATATGTTTACATAATTTAATCAACGGCGATTACAATATACTGTACGTATAACAGAGGCTTTCTTGATGTGATGTTCAATAGTTCTAAGTCAAATATACACACAGTGTAATATCATGTAATAATGCCTTTCTTAAGACAATGTAATATACTATTTCTAAAATGCTATGACATCATGCCTTGATTATCATGAAATTTTTGTCGCATAAGATATACTTGAATATTCTTTTATTATTGGAATAAAATAACATATATCCATGGATCTGTCATGTGATAATATATAATTGATAAATAAATATAATTCACGAGTAAATCTGGCATTTAATAAAAATACAACATTTAGGACATTTTTTTGAAAAATAATACCAAATATCTATCTCATTCCAATTATATACGTACATGACATACGCTTATTACATCATAAATAATAAAGAAAGATTTTATTATATACTAATGATAATAAGGTTCAAAGATATAGATTCTAATATCACGCTCTTTATATCGATATTCATTTGAATTAGAAATATAGAAGATCTTGAGCAAGAAGTAATTAAGTGAAACGAATGATAGTAATTTTCCCTATAAAGCGCACTTATAAATAATAGCTTCTACATGGCCAACAATATATTAAACTATACTATAACAGCAGGAACATGAATTTATCTATCTGATTATAATTTAAGATTTAATAATTAATCGGACTCGAAATAACGAAAACATAGATTCGGAAGTTAAATTTCAAATTACACCAGACTATACTACGAAAATAAATAATTAATCGCGCTCTCATTGAAGAGTCGTAACAGAGACAAGAAAATTATTAATAAATAAACTGAGAATTAATAGAAGTGGAAGCATAACAAATTAAATCATGTAAAGGATAATTTCTTATTAAGCTTAAAGATCTATGGAGTGTCGAAATTACTTTAACATGAAATGAAAATAAATATATACGCGGTATTAAATAGAAAAACCGACATTCTTTAAATACTAATCGATAGAATTTTCGAAGGTGAACAGACGAATACCGTTATATAACGCTTTTATGCTATCAGAGTTCATAGATATATAGATAATAGTAATGAACGCAACAAAAATAGGTTTAAGAAGAACGTACAAGATAAATAAATATTTTCAAATTAACTTCACAGGAACAATAGTTTAAAGATTGAATATAAATAACTCGTGAATCGATCTTATTGCCAGTATCAAAGTTAGAGTTAAAATAAATTAGATTATTGGCCGAATAAAAAATAGAATACTTTATGTTACGTACGTACTGTTGAAGTTTTAACATTGAAATCTTTAGGAGAGAATTTAACGCCATAAATATCGTTTTGTGCATGGGTACTGGTTCGGTGACGTTAGAACAATAGATGATTTCCTTCATTTGCAGTTTTCAGGATCTTCTGGTATCACTAATTTTGTATACCGGCCTACAAGACCATAGTTATTCATGAGGATTGTTTATTTCATGCCATTCCTTGTAGCAACAAAGATGCGCTACTCACTGTATTAGGAGGTTGGGCTTGTAATGCACACTTGTGAGCATTAAGAATTTGTAGAAGCTGATCTTTTTGCTTTGTTAAACTTGCAATGTTTTCTAATATAGAATCCTGAACATCAGTTAAACGTTCTGTTTCCTAAGAAATTGATAAGATGATGAAGATAAGTGAATGATTACTCTTAATAGATAATTACACGCATAGCAGCTCTAGATTTAATCTTAATTTGCAATTTACGATGGTGAACCAATTTGAATTCTTGTTCGTGTTAATTCAAATTTAGTACCTTTTCTAGACGTTCAATATTTTCTCTACGCCTATTTCTACATCGCATCGCAGCTAATTTATTTCGCTCACGTCGTAGCCTCTTCCTGTTCATATCATCTTCAGTCGCCTATAATAGATAGCATTTAATTATTGATTAATATTTCAGCTAGCAATTTATCTACCGCTATCTTTAACAATCATCATGTAACTACTAAGAATCTATATCTGTGATGAAATGAAATACTGATGGCAACTTATGTACTATGCTTGATGACTGCATTGTACGTAAAATCTAAAGTTATAAGGATCTATCATAAATTTAAATGAAAATCTAAAATTAAGATTAACCAAC